AGCATGGGGAAGGGATTGCGGCGTGACCATCCCCCCTGGGGGGTGATTTCTCGCTTTCTGTCTCTATGTCTGTCTCTGTCTGGCGAGCGCACGCGCCCTACAGTGAAAATCTCTCCAAAAAAAAAAAAAAAAAAGGGCATAGCAGTTATATAGCAGTTATGTCGCTGGACCCCCATATGGCCAACTGTGATTTGAGTCCCAGACCTGGCAGCTTGAAAGTTATGCCAGGTACATGGACATGCACGCCTAAGACCCCAAGAGGAGAATGGAGAAGACCGGATTGCAGCATGGCCACCCTGGGGGATGATTTCTCACTTTCCCTATCACTGTCTCTCTGGTGAGTGCACGTGCCCAAAGGCATAAACCTCTAAAAAATAAATATATATATATATATGGCATTTTCCTAATTCTTCTGTCTCTCCTATAAAGACTTAAAAACAGAACAGAGGCCCAAGCTGCAATGGGACAAGCAGTAGGGCACCACTGGTGACACCGGAGTCTTATAGGAAGGCCTGGGATTCAGATCAAGGCTGACTTGAACATGGCAGGTGTGGCACAGTTGGTGAGCCCATGATCCTAACTGGCTAGAAGGCTGGGAGAGAGGGGAGTCAGAGGGACAATAAGACTGCTGGGGTATCTTGTCTATCTCTATCATGAAAGAAACTTAGAGATAGTGAATCCATCTTCTATATACACTTGGTAGCTCTAACTTGTTAGTTCATCTTTACTGATTTCCTTGAGGATATATATAGAGAGAACAAAGGATTTTGAAGCTAACTCAAAGTTGGCTAACAAGAGCCCCTTGTCTTGTCCACTTTTCTAATCTAAGAGGAGTAAAGCAAAAAGGTCTCCCCACCCAAGTTCTGCCACCAAAACTTTTCCCCAGGAATGAGGACAATACCAAAGGGTACCTATCAAGTCTCCTCAGCGGTTATGTCCTCACCTTTGGGAAAGCCACTGTTCCATATCGACACCTTCTCTCTGTTGGTAGTCCCTCAGAAGGCTGTGGGCGTGATCGAGGCTTACAGAGTCCCTGTAATCATCTTCATCTACGACACAGATGTAGTAGGGCAGGAACTGCGGCACATCAGTAGGCCAGGCCACCTCGTCAGCTGGAGGTGCAGGAATAGCAGTATCCAGGACAGCATCTTGCAAGTGGAGGTCTTGCAGCTGGGCAGTCCATTCTATGTCACTGGCATAGGTGGGATCGTTTCTAAGATCCAATGTAAGCTGTGGCTGTGGCACCTCCTCGCTGTCACTTCCCCAATCATCTGCACCTTCACACCAGTCTTTAGCTGCAAGGCCATGTTCCTGTTTCTGGAAGAATATCCAGGCAATAAGGTCCAAGCACACTCAAGTGGTTCTGTCTTATTATTTTGGCTTCAGCTACCCCTACCTTTATCTTCTGGATGAAGTCTTCACATCAACCCCTTGGCCTGTTAGCCTGCCCAACAGTTCTGTGACAAGGGTGGCCTCCAGTTCACCAGACCACCCCTGAACTTTCTGACAGCAGGAGAGGTGCTTCTGCAGGCCAGTTCTTTCTTATTTATTTATTTATTTAACATTCATTTACTCAATATCATCACCGCATACAAAATGCAGTTTCCTACCCAGAATACACTGTATGGAGGCTTAGTCATACATGTTATCATCAACAAGTAATTTTCCATTTCTTGTTTCTTGATATATATATCCCCCCCCTTTCTCACTCTGCCATTCTCCACTCTATCTCTGGTATCTGTAGTTACTTCCATTCCTTTTTTTCTCTCCCACATTTTACTGGTTAACAAAATGACTCTGCCATTCTCCACTCTCCTCCCACTCTATCTCTGGTATCTATAGTTACTTCCATTCCTTTTTTTCTCTCCCACATTTTACTGGTTAACAAAATGAAATATAAATATCTGTGAACAAATGTGTGACTTGAGGCATGAAACTGTGAGTAGAGTGAATATACTATAAAACAGCACCTAGCTGAGGCTATATAGCTTACTGTGGCCATTAAATAGGTATTTTAAAATATGTTTTTTAATTTCAAGAAAGGCAGTTTTGGCTTTAATAAATCAAAATCAAAAACTGTTAAGAGAATTTTGCTTAAGACTTAAAGCCAGAAAGCAGGTTAGGATTCTGTTCAAATAGTAGTTACATGGATCTGTTGACAATTCAAGAGAAGACAAAAATCCTTATCTCTGGACTACAAAGCATAGAAAAAGATCAGCATTGTTTTAGTCAAAAGTCATAAAATTCTATCTCATCAGTTCATTTTCATGTACTTAGATTCTAACTTCTGTTATGGTCCAAGTGTTCCATTAAAATTCTGGAAGATAATATCCAACTCTGGACTTGTCCCTACCATTAAGTTGGTTCTTTTCTTAGATGCTTTTTAACTCTTATTTCTGTGTGTCTGACTTTAGTTTTCCTGACATAACATTTCCTTCAGAACTTCATGGAAAACTGGACTAGTGTCGGTAAATTCTTTCAGGTTTTGTTTATCTGAGAATGTTCTTGTCTTCTCTTCCCATATGAAGGATACTCTTGCTGGGTATAGTATTCTTGGTTGAAATTGTTTTTCACTCAACACTTTCAATATATTTTCCCATTCTTTTCTTGCTTGCATTGTTTCCAATGAGAGGTCCCCTGTTAGCCCAATGGGATATCCTTTGCAGGTAACTTGTTTCTCTCTTGCCAGTCTGAGTACCTTGTCTTTGTCTGTAGTTCTGGTCAACCTGGCTATAATGTGTCTTGGAGAAGATCTTCTGGTGTTGATTCTATTTGGGGTCCTTTGTATTTCTTGGGTCTGGTTCTTTGAATGCCTCTCTAGGTTTAAAAAGTTTTCTTCCAGGTTTTCATGGAATAGATTACCGATGCCTTTATTAGTCTCTTCACCTTCTGGGATACCAATTATCCGGGTGTATGGACATTTGATGGTATCTAGTATTTCTTGTATATTATTCTCATTTTTTTGGACTATTTTCTCAGTCTTTGTGGTGGATTTTTCTAGGCCAGCAATTCTGTTTTCTACATCTGAAATTCAAACTTCTGTGTAATCTAGTTTGCTTTTAATACTTCTGAGGGAGGTTTTGATTTCCTGTATTACAGCTTTCATCTCTAACAGTTTTATGATGTGTATTTCCTCTTTCAGTTCGTGCAAGAACTTCCTCAATTCCTGGAACTCCTCAGCTCTATTTTCCTGCCTCTTCTGGAGTTCACTGTCTCTCTTCTCTTGCATCTCTGTTAACTTTGTCACTATGAATATTTTAAATTCTTTATCAGACATTTCCACAAGTTCCACTCTGCTGTCTGTGGATGGAGAGTTATTCTTTTCCCTTGGGGGGGGAGGTATTTCCTTGGTTTCTCTTATTTCTTGCGACTTTGTGGTGATTTCTAATCATCTGATAGGTTATACGATTCTTCCTAATTTCTAGAAGTTCAATCTGAGCATTCAGGGGCATGCAGGAGGAGGTGGTTTGCAATCTCTTTGCAATCCGTTTTTATCCCTGTGTGCAGGAGATTCAGTGGGTATTGAGGAATATGTTGATCCTAATAGTATTTAGATGTTTGTCTATGGTTCCCTTAGATCCGTCTAGACACTCAGTTCACGAAGACTGAGCAACAAACTGCTGAGATAAAAGAAAAAGGATAAGAAAACAGAGAAAGAGGAAGAAAAGAAAAAAAAATTACTTTATTTTTTAAAAAGCAAAAAATGAAAACTGCACAGCACACAAGCACACTGCACAGAAGCATTAGTTCTCAGCTGTAGTACAGGAGTCTTCTGAAGGTTTGCCCCTTGCCTCTCCTAGAGGGGAGGGGGAAAGGGGATTATTACCAAGATAAAAGAGAATCTGAAAGACAAGAGAATACTTTACCTTAAAATTAAAAAAAAAAAAAAAGATAGATTACCAAAAAATGAGATTAAAATTAGAGGAAGAGAGAGACAGAGAGAGACAGAGAGAATATAGAGGGGGCACCCTACCTCTTGAGACTGGGGCAGGAGGCTGAATTATCAGTAGACAATCTTCATTTCTTTTATTCTCTGAAAGCACTAGTTCTCAGCTGCAGTGGAAGAGTTTTCTTCTGAAGGCATGTCCCTTGCCTCTCCACTTGAGACTGGGGGCTGGAGGCTGAATTATCAGTAGATAATCTTCATTTATCTTATTCCCTGAAAGCACTAGTTCTCAGCTGCAGTGGAAGTCATCTTCTGAAGGCCTGCCCTTTGCCTCTCCACTTGAGACTAGGGGCTAGAGGCTGAATTATCAGTAGACAATCTTCATTTCTCTTATTTCCTGAAAGCACTAGTTCTCAGATGTAGTGGAGGAATCTTCTTCTCGGCCAGTTCTAAGGTATGGTTCTGGGGGTCGGCCCTGGAGTGGCCTCTCTCCTTTAGCCTACCCAATTAGTTGGTAAAAGCCCAATTCCTGTATTAAGTCTGTCTTACCTTAAACGAGGCAAACTGCTTTTCTATGACAAGTTGTATATCCTTTATTCAAAATGTTTGGGACCAGAAACATTTTGGATTGCTTTTTATTTGAGGAGGGGGGCTGTACATGATGAAATATCTTGGAGATAGGACCTCAAGTCTAAACATGAAATTCATTTATGTTTCATATATGCTTATACCTATCTAAAGATAATTTTACACAATGTTTTTATATTGCAGCATTTTGACCATAACCCCTCACATGAAGTTAGGTGTTGAATTTTCCATTTATGGCATCATGTTTGCACCCAAAAAGTTTCAAATTTTGAAATTATTTCAAATTTTGGATTTTTGGATTAGGGTTCCTTAATCTCTATCTGCAACTGAATTCTAATAAGACCCTTAACCAGGGGACGCATTCTGAGAAATGTGTCATTAGGCAATTTTCTTCTACAGTAACATCATGCAGCATACTTACACAACCCTAGATGGTATAGCTAGACACTACACACCTAGGCCATATGAACTAGCCTATTATAATCTTATAGGACTACTTCGGTATAGAGTCTCTTGTTTACCAAAACATCATCAGGCAACACATAACGATAAAGGCAAACATCACCACCTTCATCTATTTATTTAGTATTGTTAGTACTACACCTGGTATGCTGTATTAAAAACTTGAGGCTACTCGGTGGCATGGTGATTAAAGACACTGGACTCCCACATGGCTGACTGTGTTTCAAGTCCCAAACCTGGTGGCTTGCTTTCTCACTTTCCCTGTTTTTCTCTGGTCAAAACGAAAAATAATGGGGCCAGCAGGTGGCATGGTGGTTAAGATGCCGGATAATCCCACATGGCCAGCCATGGTTCAAGTCCTGGACTTGGTGCCTTGCTTTCTCACTTTCTTTCTCTCTCTCTCTCTCTCTGGTCAAAATAAAATAAATGAATAAAAAATTTAAGAAAAATAATAATAAAGTTGAATAAAATAATTTTTACAAGAAAAAAAAAAAAACAAACCTCAGTGTAGCAGCCAGCAGACGGCATAGCAGTTACATTGCTGGATTCCCACATGATTGACTGAGGTTTGAGTCCTAGACTCGGTGGCTAGCAGGTGCATATGCATACATGCCCAAGATCCCAGGAAGAAAACAGAAGATAAGGAATTGCAGCATGGCCATCTTCCCTGGGAGTTGATTTTTCACCTTCCCTCTCACTGTCTCTGTGTCTCTCCCTCTTTCTGGCAAGCACAACACACACTAAGGCAAAAACCTCTTTTAAAAAAACAACTCAGTACAGGGTCAGCCAGTAGCACAGTGCTTAAAGTAGTTGGATTCAACATAGCAGACTGTCCAGTTCAAGTCCTGGACAGTCAGCTCGAAAATCACACAGTACATGTACAGGTGTGCCCAAAATATCCAGATGAGAATGGAGTAAAAGAATCGTTCCTTGATCATCCCCTCTGGGGGGTGCTTTCTTCTCCACCCACCACCTCTGTCTCTCTCCTGCCAGGGGATGCACCCAATAGCAAAAACTAATGATAAATAAATAAATACATGGCATCTCTTTTAAAAAAAAATAAGGGAGTGGGGGCAGACCAGCAGTTGGTGTAATGGCTATGTAGCTGGACTCCATGAAGTCAACCACAGTTCGAGGCCCGGACCTGGTGGCTTAAACTCATGACAGGCACATGTGCGTGGGTGCTCATGATTCCGAGAGAGGAGAACGGAGGAGAAGGGACTGTGGGGTGGTTTCTCGTTTTGTCTCTCTCTGTCTTTATGGGCCTATAGCAAAAACCTAATCATGTAGTTCCTAATCATAACTATATATCTCAAGAACAACAGTGTAAATTAAAGAAACTTCACAAAACCTTAAAATCGCAGTTCACGGTTCGATAGAAAGGCAAAAACCATTCCAGTGTTCTTAAAAGTTTGCCTTAAACGATATTCTAGGAAAAAAAATCTTTTTTTTTAAATAGAGGTTTTGGCTATAGGGCGCGTGCGCTCACCAGACAGACAGAGAGAGACAGAGAGACAGAAAGCGAGAAATCACCCCCCAGGGGGGATGGTCACGCCGCAATCCCTTCTCCTCCATTCTCCTCTCGGGATCTTGGGCATGCACGCACACGCGCCCGGCGTGAGTTTTAAGCCACCGGGTCCAGGACGCGAACCGCGGTTGACTACGTGGGAGTCCAGCGACATAGCCATTACGCTAACTGCTGGTTCCCGGAAAAAACATCCTTTTATTACAGCAAATATGACATATCAATCACAACCAAAGTTTTACCTGGGCGTCCTGAGCCTCTCTCTCTGGCACCTGCAGGCACTGGGAGCGGAACACCTTCCAGCTTCAGGATAAACACAGACTGCCGTGAGGGCTCCAGCCCGCCGGCCCGGCCCGGCCCCCGCGTCCGCCCACCCGGAACAGTACTCCCCGAGGGCCCCGGGACGTCCCCGCCTACCTGCGCGCCCCCCGGCTGCGGCAGCTAGGGCGGGCGCAAGCGAACACGTGCAGGAGCCGGTGAAACGGGGAGCCTTCTAGAGGGCAGTACACCTGCACGACCAGGGCGAGCGGCTGCCCACAGCGTTCACACCGCGGCCTCGGCGCTGGGACGGCGGGCAGGGCGTCCTGAGGGCAGGAGAGGCGCTCAGACCCCGACTCTGCCCCAGGACCGCGCCCACTCCCTCCCTCCCCGCTCCTCGTCAGCACCCGCCGACCCCAGCTCCCGCGCCCGCCCTCACCGGGACGCGCCCCAGCTTCCTAGCGAACGCGGGCGGCCGAGAGGGCGAACCTCTCTGCGCACGCGCGCCGCCCACGCTTCCAGACGGCCCCACCCCTTCATTAGGACCAGTTCGAGGAACGCCGAGACGTCGCTTTAGAGCGCCTGGGGGTTGGCGCGAGGCGTTGGTAGTTACGAGCTGGATTCTACGTGTTAGTTAGCCTGAACTTCAAGTCCCGGACCGGCGAATAGTAACCCCTGGCCGCGAGTGTGTGGGTATGTGTGTGTCTGCACGCCCAAAATCCTGAATAGAGGGAGAAAAATAGGAAAAGGGCTGTCAGTATGACCATTCCCGTGCGGATGGTGCTTTCTCACTTCTCTCCACTCCTGAAGAGCACTGGCGCCCTGTGGCAAATTTTAAAAATGAAGTGTTTGCACTTGGTCCTGGAGCCACGCGGGTGACTGTCGTGGGCTCAAAATTTGGGGAGGGAGTAGAGTTACCGTAACAATGACCGAGAGCTGGTAATTATTGAAATTTGGTTGCAGGTACATGGAGGTTTATTGTATTATAAAACTTGGATATGTTTACCATTTTCCCTAAGAAAGTTTTAAAAATTATTTTATTTAACTTTATATATTTATTTTTATTGTTATTACTATTATTTTCTAGTTTGATCAGAGAGAAAGTGAGAAAGCAAGCCACAAGGTCCTGGACTTGAACTGTAGTTGGCCATGTGGGAGTTCAGCCTCTAACCACCATACCACCTGCCGGCCCTGAGAAAGTTTTCTTTTTAAGAATTTTATTTATTTTTTATTTTGACCAGAGAAGGAGAGAGAGAGAGAAAGAGAAAGCAAGCCAGATGGAAGGGGGGGGGCATCGGGACCAGCAGTTAGCACAATGGCTATGTCCCTGGACTACCACGTAGTTGACCCGACCGTGATTCGAGTCCTGGACCAGGTGGCTTAAACTCACACCGGGCACATGTGTGTGTATGCCCAAGATCCAAAGAGAATGGAGGAGGAGGGATTGCGGTGTGGCCATCTCCCCTGGGGGTTGATTTCTCACTTTCTGTCTCTGGGGAGCACACACACCCTGCAGCAAAAACCTCAAAAAAAAAAAAAAAAAAAAGGCAAGCCGCCAGGTCCAGGACTTTAACTGCTGTCTGCTATGTGGGATTCCAGCACCTTAACTACCATACAACCTGCCAGACCCCCAATAAGAAAGTTGTAACAAAAGTGCCTGTGGCTGGCACGAGCAGGTGGGGTGGTAGTTAAGGTGCTGAACTCCCACATAACTGACCGCTGTTCCATCTAGACCCGGCTGCTTGAACATCACGCTGAGCACACGTGCCAGCAGGCCCAAAATCCCAGAATGGAGGGGAAGGGATTACGGCATGGCCTTTCTCCCTGGGGAGGTGATTTCTCCCTTTCCTTCTCACTGTCTCTCTCTGGCAAGTACAAGTGACATAAGGCATAAACCTCAAAAAAGGAGGGACCAGTAGTTGGCATGATGGCTATTATCGCTGGATTCCCATGTAGTCAACTGCGGTTCGAGTCCTGGGCCCAGAGGCTTAAACTCAAGCTGGGTGCATGTACGTGAGTGCCCAAGGTCCCGAGAGGAGATTGGAGGAGAAGGGGTTGCGGTGTGGCCATCTTCCCTGGGGGCTGTCTGTCTGTTTCTTTTTGGTGAGTTCACATGCCCTGTACCAAAAACCTCTCCCAAAAAAAGGAGAAACAAAATGAAAATAAATGCATAAATAAAACACCTGTTGAACAACATGAGTGAATCTGAAAACCATCAGGTGTGGTAAAAGAAATCAGACACAGGGCTAGCTGGCATGGTGGTTAAGATGGCTGGATCCATTATGGCCAACTATTCAGTTCCAGTCCTGGAGCTGGCAGTTTGAAAACATTGTAGGTATGTGTGCATGGGTGCCCAAAATTCCTAGAAGAGAATGGAGAAGGGATTGTGGTGTTGCCATCTCCCCTGGGAATGACTTCTCACTGTCCCTCTTTCAGATGAGCGTACATGCCTTATAGCAAAAACACTAAAAATAAATCCTATATCATTTCACCAATAGAAAAGTGACAGCCAATATATGTAATATATATACATATCATATATAATTATTATTTTTTAAAATTTTGCTAGAGGGCACTCCCCAGAGAAGTGAGAAATCACCCCGTCCCCAGGGGATGATCAGGATTGAAGTCCTTTCTCCTCCATCTCTCCCTCCTTTTGGGATTTTGGGTATGCATGCATATGTACCCAACATGTTTTTCACGCAACCAGGACTCGAACCACAGGGTCAGACACGTAGGGTTTAGCTACCTTAATCACTATGCCAGAGGCTAACCCAGAGAGCCAATAATTTTAGGGATCAGCAGATGGCATGATGTTTATGGCTCTAGACTCCCACAGAGTTGACTGCAGTTCAAGTCCCGGACCCAGTGGCTTGGAACTCATGCTGGGCACATGTGTGTGCATGCCCAAGATCATGAGAGGAGAATGGAGAGCCAATAATGTTAGAGTTTTCCTTTCCTTTCTTCCTTAAGACAGAGACAGCATCCTCAACAAGTCAACCATGTTCCACTCCCAAAACCAACCTGATTATGGGTACTTACATATCCATCATGCTCAAGGAGGTCCCAGGCAGTGAACCCAGGACCTTTGCTACGTGGGTACAGTTATATTACCACTGTGCTACCACCTGGCTCCATCTAAGTATTATTTTTAGTGGACAATTACACTTATGTGATCACTGTAATTACAGTATTCCTCACTTTGAGTCTTGTGGATGGAGTGTGCCTTCCCTGACAGGAACCAAAATACTAATCCTTGCTGTCCCGGTCTCAAGGAAGGCATGGGTCCTAGACAGAGTGCAACTCAGAAGAAGGTGACCCAAGAGAGAGTGGCACAGAGGCAGCTCTGATGACTGAGTTAAAGAGCAGGTATTTCCCCTCTCAGACTGGTTGCTATCATGCTCAGGAGGGTCGTTGCTAGAAGCCCAGCTTCTAACCTGACTGGCAGTTCTGCCCATCAACCTAAGTAAGGTTTCTTTCCTGATTAATTGGTTGAAAATATGATTTAATATCTTGAGTAGAAGATGAAAGAGCAGTTGGTTGGAAAGTCCTGTTTTTAGTGCCTTATAAAGGGAAAGAATTACTTGCGCATCTGGCCAGAAGATGTAGTCACCCTTGATCTTGGCCAGGGACTCATTCAAAACAGACACCTCAGTGTGTATGTGTGTGTGTGTCTCTGTGTGTGTGTTTACATTTATTTATTTCTTTCTTGAGCAGGAGATAGAGACACCCCCCGCCCCCAGAGTCTTGACACTGTGATGCAATCCCAGCGTTAGCTAGCCCTGGATCACAGGCACAGGCCAGCCTGGTGTACACCGAGAGATTTCCAGTCTTGAACCAGGAACCTTCCCATGTAGGGTACCTGGCAGAGCATGGCATTTAACTGCTGTACCACCATGGCTCCTCAAAGTGGTTTTAAAAACTAGCCAGTGAGGGGTCAGCAGGTAGCACGGTGGTTAAGGCGCTGGACACTCCCACATGGCCTACCACAGTTTGAGTCCCAGACCTGGTGGCTTGCTTTCTCACTTTCCTTCTCTCTGTATGTCTGCCTTTCTCTGGTCAAATAAAAATGAATGAATGAATGAATGAATAAAATTAAATACTAAAAATAAAAACTAGCTAGTGAACAGAAATGTATAATTTAAAATCACAGAGGTGAGGAGTGGAAAGAGTTGGAGATGGGATATTTGCCTCCTGACTTTATGCCCCATCCAGCCCACTCTCTTCTCCACACTAAACCAGCTCCCCCACTCATAATCTAGTGTCAACCAAGACCCAGCACTCCCCCTACTGGGCACTCTGCTGCATAAGCCTTATCCCTGGGAACAGTAACAGGCTGAGCCTCCGACCTCCTTTGTGGCATCTTTATTTTTCTACCTGGAACCCAAACAATGTGAAGATGGGTCAGAAAAATCAGCTGATCAGCTGCACTGAAACACCTTAGCCAACTGTAAAACAGGGAGGGCAGACAGAGAGGGATTCGAGTGGCAGTTCCAGACCAACTTCCTCAGAAGGGTTTGTTGTCCAAGCCCACAACCAGAAGGTGCTCTGGGTGGAGAGATGCAGGACCATGCAGTGCAGACTCTGGTGAGGAGGGACAAGAAGGACCGTCACAATAGGAGCTGCAGCTGAGCATGAGTGTCCTAGGTTCTGGCCTCACGGTGCTGCTTGATGAAGTTGATCAGCCCATTGGTGGAAGCATCATGAGAGGTCACTGGAGCGTTGCCATCAAGCTCAGGCTCGATTTTCTTAGCCAGCTGCTTTCCCAGCTCCACTCTGCCAGGAATGGGAAGAATGGTATAAGGAAGTGTCCAGCATTGCCAGGGAAATCCTCGAGCCGACCTCCTGACCCTCCTGAGTCAGCAACTCACCCCCACTGGTCAAAGCTGTTGATGTCCCAGACGATGCCCTGGACGAAGATCTTGTGCTCGTACATGGCTGCAGAGGTGGCGGACAGCGTATGTTAGGGCTCCAGAAGCCCAGTCTCACCTCCCCCAAGCCAGTCCCTTCCTCTGTTCACTCACCAATCAGGGCCCCAAGAAGGAAGGGTGTGAGTTTAGTGAACACAATGGAGTTGGTTGGGCGATTTCCTTCAAAGACCTTCAGAACATACCAACAAATGTCCCCAAGTTAGTCCCGATCCCAAAACCCCAAAAAAGAAAGCACACCCTGCCCCACAGGCTGTGCTGAGATGAACACATCTGTGCAGACAGATCCTCCCGATGAGTAGAGCAAGCCAGGCCCCTCCCTGGCCCCACGGCTTCGCCCCTCCAGCTCCAGCATGCCACCCCAGAGGTGACCTCAGAAGGGCTGACCTTGTGCGGTAACAGCTTCTCAATGTCCTCTGGACTCTTTCCTGCAGCATGGAGCTCCTTCCGTGCTTCGTCCGTTGATTTCCCCTTCATCAGGGCCTCTGTCTGGGCCAAGAAGTTGGCGAGAAGGATCTGCCGAGAGAGACATCCACATAGCCTTGAAAGTGCTGTCTGAGCACTGGCCAGAAAGACAAGACCACCTGGCACCTCTCAGTTGGCATTAGTTTGAGCCTGTATAGCTCAGCTTGACTGAGGATGGACCAGAGGGCATGTCCAGTGACACTGGTCAGTAGGCAACTGCTTTTCTTTTTTTTTTTTTGGAGAGATTTTCACTGTAGGGGGCGTGGGTTCACCAGAAATCACCCCCCAGGGGGGATGGCCATGCCACAATCCCTTCTCCCCCATTCTCCTCTCGGGATCTTGGGCACGCACGCACATGCACCCGGCATGAGTTTTAAGCCACCAGGTCTGGGATGCAAACCGCAGTCGACTACGTGGGAGTCCAGCGACATAGCCATTACGCTAACTGCTGGTCCCGGCAACTGCTTTTTAAGGATGAGTAGGCAGGTAGGCAACTGCTCTTTAAGAAATACATGCTTAAAGGGTCATCAGGTGGTGTGGTGGTTAAGAGCACTGGACTCCCAAATGGCCGACCGCGGTTTGAGTCCCAGACCTGGTAGCTTGCTTTCCTCCTCTCCCTCACTCTGTCCCTCTCTGGTCAAAATAAAATAAATCAATAAAGCTAAATCAAAATAATTCCTTTAAAAAAAAAAAGAAATACATTCTATTTGCCAAGGGTCCTGCTAACAACTTTTGCCCCAGGTCCTGCTAACAACTTTATCAACATCTGTCTTTTAAGATCCTAAATATGGGGCCAGCAGGTGGCATGGTAGTTAGGGCCCTGGACTCCCACATGGCCAACCGCAGTTCAAGTCCCAGCCAAAATCCCAGGAAGAGAATGGAGGAGAATAGATTGTGGTATGGCCATCCCTCCTGGGAAATTATTTCTCACTTTCTCTCTCTTTGTCTCTCTCTGGCAAGGGCAAACATCCTATAGCAAAAAAGAAAAACCATCCGTACCCGATGGCTTAAAACTCATGATGGGTGCGCCCGAGACCCTGGGAGGAGAATGGTGGAGAAGGGATTGTGGCATGGCCATCCCCTACAGGGGTGATTTTTCAGTTTCCCTCTCACTGTCTCTACTCTCTTCCTCTCCAGTGAGCACACAAGTCCTAAGGCAAAAACTTACTAAAAAAAAAAAAATCCTGGGGCCAGCAGATGACGAACGTCATGATTCCCAAATGGCCAACCAGGGTTTGAGTCCCGGACCTGGTGACTTGAAAATCATGCCGGCACATGAGCATGCATGCCCAAGATCCCAGGGGGAGAATGGAAGAGAAGGGAATGGAATGGTGCCAACCCCCATCCCCGGGGGGGTGATTTCTCACTTTCCCTCTAACTGTATCTGTATACGTGAGACCCCCAGAAGCACATGTGTCCCCAGGAAAATATCTCTAAAAAAATTATTTTGGGGACTAGCAGCATAATGGCTATGTCGCTGGACTCCCACGTAGTCGACCGTGGTTCGCGTCCCGGACCCGGTGGCTTAAAACCCATGCCGGGCACATGTGCGTGCGTGCCCAAGATCCCGAGAGGAGAATGGAGGAGAAGGGATTGCGGCGTGACCATCCCCCATGGGGGGGTGATTTCTCGCTTTCTGTCTCTATGTCTCTCGCTGTCTGTCTGGCGAGCGCACGCCCCCTGTAATGAAAAATCTCTCAAAAAAAAAATTATTTTGGAAATGAAAAAAGAAAAACAACCTAAGGGCAAAGGTGGCATCTCTCTTTTCTAGTTGAACCTCAGTTTCCTTGAAAAACAGTGCTGAATCACAGAACCAGAGGGCAAGAATGAGAACTCAGTGGGATTGAGGTGTGGTCATCCCCTGGGCGAGGGCGGGGGTTTCTCCACTTTCTGTCTCTCCAGCAAATGCACGCACCCTAGTGCAAAAATCTCTCTTAAAAAAAAAAAAAGACTGAAACCTCAGTGGCAGGTTCCTGACTGCGCAGGTTGGCCCATGGTAATCCTCTGCTGCTCTACACAACCACAATACTCAAGAAATTCTCGTCAAGGACTTCTCAGTTTGTGATCTGGATGGTTTTCCATGAGCTGCTGTGACAAGCAAGATCTCAGCTCCAGGGACCAGCAGTTAGCATAATGGCTATGTTGCTGGACTCCCATGTAGTTGACAGCGGTTCGAGTCCCAGACCCGGTGGCTTAAATTCACTCCAGGCGCATGTTCATGCGTGCCTAAGATCCTGAGAGGAGAATGGAGGAGAAGGGATTGCGGCATGGCTATCCTCCCTGGGGGGGTGATTTCTCGCTTTCTGTCTCTCTGTCTCTCTTTCTGGTGAGTGCACGTGTCCTGTAGCAAAAACCTCTCCAAAAAATAAATAAGTAAATAAGATCTTAGCTGCATGATCTGATCTTTGCCTCCTTCAGGTATACATTGTGTATCACACAGCCAAAGGGATTTTACAGGGGGAATCAAGGGTATGGCAGTTCTCCCTTAACAATAGGGGACACGTGCCAAGATCCCCAATGGAGGCCTCAAACCATCGGTAGTACTGAATCTTGTATACACTGTCTTTAAAAATATTTTTATAAGTTTATTTATTTATGCCTTTAGGAGAAAGAGTGAGAAGGAGAGAAAGGGAATGCTAGTTATCTCCAACAGGATCTCACACCATGAGCCCCTCAGCTTTCTTAGCCAGGATCATGTGTGTACAGCGCCCTGCATGAATAGTCAGACCGGAACCAAACCCTGATCTTCCATATGGCCCCAGCTCTGCAGAGCAGCACATCACCACTGCCAAGGCAGACCATATTGTATTTTTTTCCCCTAATACATACCTATAATAAAGTTTAATTTATACACTAGGATATAGTAAAAAATGATTCATTATAACTAATAAAAAAAACAATTATAATAATATACCACAATAAAATATACAGAACAATTATAATAATATACTATTATAAAAATAATGTGGATATGACTGACCATGGTTTGAGTCCTGGACCTGGCAGCTTGCTTTCTCACTTTCCCTTTCTCTCTCACTCTGTCCTTCTCTGGTCAAATTAAAGTAAATAAATAAATAAAGTTAAATAATTCTTTTTTTAAAAAAAATATTTCTTTATTCAATCATTTTTAAAATATTATTTTATTTAACTTTATTTATTTATCATCATCATCATCATTATTATCATCCAGTTTGATCAGAGAGAGAAAGAGAGACAAAGTGAGAAAGCAAGTCACCAGGTCCAGGAATCGAACTGCAGTCAGCCATGTGGGAGTCCAGTGCCTTTAAATACCATGCCACCTGCTGGCCCCTTAGTCATTCATTTCAATTTGACCAGGGAGAGACAGAGAGAGAAAGAGAGGGACATTGAAAAAGCAGTCACCAAGTCCGGGACTCCAACTGTGGTCAGCCATGAGGAAGTGTCCAGCACCTTAAAACCAAGCCATCTGCTGGTCCCAAATAAAATAATTCTTTAAAAAAATAATAATGCAGGGAACCAGCAGTTAGCGTAATGGCTATGTCGCTGGACTCCCACGTAGTCGACCGCGGTTCGTGTCCCGGACCCGGTGGCTTAAAACTCACGCCGGGCGCGTGTGCGTGTGTGATGTCTCTCGCTGTCTGTCTGGCGAGCGCACGCGCCCTACAGTGAAAATCTCTCAAAAAAAAAATAATAATAATAATGCACAGGCCAGCAGGTGGCACGGTGGTTGCAGTAGTTGACCCTCCCCATGGCTGACCACAGTTCAAGTCCTGGACCTGGTGGCTTACTTTCTCACTTTCCCTTCTCTCTGTCTGTCTCTGGTGATTGCATGTGCCCTATGCCAAGTTGAAAAAAGAAATAAGTAAAATAAATAAATAAAGATTTGTCTTTCTTTTCTTTTTTTAAAATTATTTTTATTTAACTCTTTATTATTTAATTTGACCAGAGAGGGAGAGAGTGAGAGAGAGAGAGAGAAAGAACGCAAGCCTCT